TCTACTGACCAATAGTCATAAAAACATGATTACAACTTTATTTCCCTTTGTTCTCTGAGTCCTACATGAAATTTAACTCCAAGTCAAGGATTTGAGTTTTATTACTCCTTGCTGCTTCCCTTGATTCTTTGAAATTACTTGTTTCTTTTAAGTCTACTGGTTCATACAAAATTAATATACCATAGTGTGACCAAATAGTATTAGTTAGGTGGAAAATTAAACTATCTGGGATTTAATCAAAATAGAAATAGAGGATGTTATACTCTATGTCTGAATGATCAGATTTTTTTTTATTCTTTACCCCTGGAACCTGGTTTGATATATCCATTACCTTTATTACCTTAGGCCTAGCGGCCACTCCATTTAGAGCTTACACCTATCATTTGGTGGTGGCGGGCCTGCCCCTTGTCAAAAATACCGAAACCTTCAGTCATAAGAATAAAAATAAATTTTGCTTTTACATTATTGTTTCATTGTTTGAAATTACTTTATCAGAGACCTGTATGTTGGTAGTGATATTTTCTGTAGAGGTACCAACATATTTAACCCAAATAAATTAACTGGAGGAAAAAGAAATCAAAAAGAAAATGTCATCAAACATTTATTAGGTAAAAGGAAATATGAGACTAAATTATCATCTTCTTTTTCTTTATTAATTTTAGAGAGGAAGGGAGGGGGAAAGAGATGGAAACATCAATGAGAGAGAACATCCACTGGCCGCCTCCTGTACGCCCCCCCACTGGGGATCGGGCCCACAACCTGGGCATGTGCCAAGACCGGGAATCAAACCGGTGACCTCTTGGTGCATGGACTGACGCTCAACCACTGAGCTACACCGGCTGAGCTACATTATTATCTTTTAATTATTCAGTGAGAAGCTGTTTTCACAAAACTAATTTATGTGCTCAGTGACTGCTTTAATAAATTTGTATGTTTTTTAAGTGGTTGAAATTCTTGTTGGACTCTTAGTAATTCCAAAATAAATAGGTGACTTACAAGTGGGTCATTATTGCTTTATCCTGATCTGTGAATTAGGGAATTTGAAGATGGTATTAATATCTCCTATAAGTCTAAGCATGCTTCTTTTGACAATCAACAAAAGCTTTATATCCCAGCATGTTTTGTATTAGAGTCCAACATTTTCCAAAGAAGAGGTCATCAGAAATTATATTTCTCTTTGACCATTCCTAATCAAGTGGGTTATTTTATGTCCTTTATATTTCATGTAAAGTTTAGATGTATATTAAAATATGGACAAAATTAAATAAAATAAACAAAAGCATACAAAGTTACTGGATGTTCCACAAATAACATAGCACTGGATATTCCACAAATAACATAGCACCATGAATTAGTAAAGAAATAAAATACATTTGGAGTGATTTCTTAAAATAATATTTCAATTACCATTTCCCATATGTGCTTTTTAATTAAAATCATAAAGTGGAAACAAAATGGAGGCTGATTCCTGGTGAACCCCCAAAATCTGACCTGTTTTACACCCAATAGTAGAAAGGGTTTGGGAATCATCTGTTAAAAAGATGTTGTCACTGTACTTGATTTAAATGTGTCTTCACCTGGTTGACAATATATTTATGTACAAAGAATAAAGTCTGTCCTTTGGTTTCAGAATCACATTTTTCAGCTAAAAAAAAAAAAAAAGGTCTCTGCACTAGAAGGCAACTGACATTTGCGGGTTATGGGATGGTATGACCCTATTTGTGTGGCTACCTTTCTTAAAAACCATCATGCCTTTTTACACCCATCTCAGATGCCTACTCTATTTTATCTTTGTTGTCGTTAGATGACCTCTTTTTTTTTTTTCATTAGGAATGCACATTTCATGTTCTTGTTTTAGCTGAGTCTCATCAAAGATATTCAAAAGTTATTGTTGACTTAAATCATGCCATATTAGTCATATTAATTGTTGTGAGTGCCAGTCAAAGTTATAAGAGCCCATTGTATGTGTGTGTAAGAGCATATATGTATATATATGTGTGTGTATACACATATGTGTGTGTGTGTTTATGTCCTCTTTTTCAAAGTCCACAATGAATATATTAAGCCTTCAATTTTCTTCTCCTGTCTTATTTAGACTTTTCTCTCTACTTTCATTACTAATAATAACTATAATTACCTATTTTGAGGTATGTATTATTAGGCAAGTAGTGGATTGACTGTATGGATGATGTTCAAATCAGTGACAATCATTAAAGAAAAAAATTATAGTTAAATATGTGATGTTTTCTTTAGAAAATACAATGGGAAGCTTTGCTACATAGGATCTATTGTCTGGGCATAAGTATGTGCTTTTTCTTCTTTTTCTTGTGAGTGCTATTAGGCTGTGAGGATGGGATAATGGTGCCACAGAAGCTATCAGAATTAAAAACAAGATTTCCGTCACTGTTTTATTTTACAGATATTTCATAGGAGGTTATATGATAGTTATTGTGAAAGCACTAAAAATACAACAATAAACACTGCCCATAACATCTGGCCTCATGGAACTTCGGGGTTTAGAGGGAAAATACTTATTGAATATTAAATTACAAAGCCAATGCTTGTTTCCAAAGGGCACTACGAAAGCATGTGTTTAGGTGTCCTCATCTAATTTGGAGCCAGACCTCCTGAGGAAATAATGCTCCTGCCAGGAAGATTTCATTAATGGGCCAGGTTCAGTTAAGGCAAAATGGGGCTAGGGTGGAAGTGCAGAAGAGTGTTTCAAATAAAAGAAATTACAAGTATAAAAGCCCAGAGTAAAACATAGAGCTTTAGAAGAACTTCAAGAAGTCTCACGAGGATAGAAGAGGAAAGCAAGACACTGTCAGCCCTGAGTTGGGGCAGGGGAGGTAGGAGGGTTCCAGATCATGGAAGTCCTTCTATTCCTCCTTAGAGATTCGAGATTTTATCTTGAAGGCAATGAAAAGGGCTAGACAAGTGGCATGGTTATATATTGGCTGACATGTGGTGCATGGATGAAATTCATTGCTGAGGGGATGCAGAGAGCTTTGTTAATATACTGAAATAGTAATTGGGCAAGAGGTGATTGGAGGTCTAGATTCGGGTGGTGTTTGAGGAAATAATAGATCATTCCTGATGATGTGAACACAATGGCATGAAAAACATTATGAGGAGCCTTCTAATTATAAAGTCATCAGGCAAGTTATAACATTGTGAATTGAAATAAATGTTGACCAACAAAAAAAGTCTATACAGTGAAGGGTATGAGTTTTTGAAAAATATTTCATGTTTGCTTATAAAATTATGCACATAACATGTTTATTACATAAAACACATATAAGCCAAAAACGCATATTCATCAATAATCACATTGCCCTAAGGTAACCAATATTAAATTTCAATATACTTTTTCCAAATATTTGTGTATGCAAACACACAAATAGAACACAACTTCTGCTTAGTTTTTAAAAATGAAGATAGGTTTGGAATTTAAGTTATTTGTATCCTTGATTTTTTAAAAATTATCAATATAACAAAAATATGTTCCCTTATGATAAAATATTATTTTATAACATTTTAATGATTGCATAATGCAGAGAAACACATATAAATGTTTTATTAAACTTTATATTTGGTTCTGTTTTGATATTTACATTTTAAATTAAATACTACTGTATGAAATATTTTCAGTTATATATATATTCAAAGGACAAATTTATAAGGTCTAAATTATAGTATTTTTCTATTCCTTTAAAATTGTGTGACCGATATAATGGTGGATTTATTGTGATAAGTATAGTGTTTAATAAGTCTAGTATATGAAAGCACTTGAAAATTATTCTAAAAATAAGAAAAATTTATATCTTTATATTTATATTATCCTCCCCAGCAAACTGCTGTGGTCTTTTCTGTGGGCATTACTGCGACTTGTTTCTTTCTCCTCCGAGTCTGAGCTATTGCCAAAGTATCTTAGCTTAAAATTCCATGTTAGTTTGTCTTTATGAAACTTCTAGCACTATACATGATTAAGTACTGAGGTGGCAGCCTGGATTCTTTCTAAATGCTTTACAGATCAAGAAAACACTTACCTATTTGCAGGAATTATTCCAGGTCAATTTAAACTGTGTTTCAATCAGAAAAAAGCAAGGTTCCACTTTTTTTGTTAAAAAAAGGAAGGTTCATACTTAGTTCAGATCTATGTGTAGGGACCACTATTTGTGGCTTGTAGTTTCTCCTTAAGCCATCATGCCTTCTTTAGAATAGCTTAATATAAAAGCAGATATCTGAATATATAAAAATATACATATAGATTTTTTTTAATTGTTATACATTTCAACATGTTAAGCTCTAAATGAAACTGACGGATACTCAAAGTCACTTTTGTCAAAGCCTTTTCCTATATAACATATTTGGATGATGCAAGATCTGTTCTCTTGTGGTGTCCAAGTGATTGATAAACTAATTTGTATGGAATATACAATAATTATTCAGACTCTGTGGTTTCGTCAAATGAGATGAATACAAATTTCTATTTTCTGAATAGGACATAAAGTATGATAGGCCTATTGTAGATGCTTCAGTGTGCCAAAGTTGGTATTAAGTTTGGTGTTCATAAATTACTAATCTGGAATAAGAGGTTGAATGTATTTTGAAAACTTAAACCTGTTTCACCTGAACATGTTTAACTAGTTAATAAGAAACATCAAAATAACAAAACCCTGAGATCAATGGTCATTTTTTGTAAAGCTATTATATGCTGTTTAAATTGGTTGTTCGGGTCTGTCTATAACATAAGTTTAATAACCTAGCTCAAATGCAGATTTCTAATTTTCAATTAACATAGGAATAATTTTGTTTGCTAAAATAAAATAAATGAATGAATGACAAGTCTGAAACATGAAATGTTCTAGGTAGCACTTTTTAAAATTCCAAATTTCAAAAAATCATGTGGCAACTGTATAGCTCAAGCTTTAAGTATTAACTTTTAACCTTTGACCTTACAGATTTTAACCAATGAAATGTCTCTTTAAACTTTAAAGGAAACAATGATAACGAGCGCCTGGCGATTGCTAGACAGCGAATTCCATATCGACTTGGTCGAGTAGTTGATGAATGGCTACTCGACAAAGGTAAAAAACATTGATTAAAACTTCAAATAAAAAAATAATTTGAACATAACCAAGTAGTACTTCATTGTAACACTAATAAACATAAAAATAAATTTTCCGTAAAACTAAATTAAAAACAAATTAAAACAGTAAAATATAGATAGTAATATTTGCATACCTTGTATAATAATTTCTATACATTTTTAGACGTACCAGCTGTTTAATAATCTTACCCTGTTAATTTAAGGTTAAAGGGACTGTTAAATATAATCCACTAACTCAATCTATGAAGGTACTCACAGCAAGCATTAACCCAAAATGATAAATCATTCATAGATTATATTACATGTTCCAGCCTCTAAATTATTAACTAAAATATGTGTAGTTCTGATATCTTTTATTATGGTCCTGAAAAACAAACAAACAAACAAACAAAACTCTTGGTTTAAACTCTAGGCATCTTAAATAGTGGGCAATATGGATTGCTGGTCAAAATGAAGTCCCTTTAACGTTTGCAACCTTCTAAGAGCATTTGGGAACAAACCCTAATTAAAACTGAACTTAAAGTTGTGTGCATGCTTTTTATGAGCAGAGAGCAATCTGCTAAAACTGGATACTCAATTTGATGATATTGGTACTGTTGCTGAGGATTGCTGTTTGATGGAAATGAGCCATAATTTCTCCATCGGTTTGTGTATCATTCCTGAAGCCGCTTTTTACATCTGAAGCTATTTTTTCATTCTGTTTTGTTTTAATAAACTTGCTGAAAGCCAATCAGAAAATATTTTTGGAATTTTTTTTGTCTCTGACATGCTCAGTGTAAACCATGCATTTCTTTTCAGTGTGATTGCCGGAAAGATAGACTAATTCAAATAACAATGGACTATTTTCTTCAAAAAAACAAAACCAAAAAACAACATTCTAAAGAATAGCATGTAGATGCTTGTGGCCATTAAGTGAATTATGAAATTTTTTTTACCAGAAACTTAAAATTAGATATCAACTGCTATAGATTAGTTTCTACAAGTGGTGATTTTAGAATGACAAATACTTGAAATGTTAGATATATCACATTTGTTAATTAAAATATTTAGACTTAAGAGACCTACAGTGTGAGATCTTGAGGTAAAAGGGAAAGGGATCCACTAAAAATTGATTTACAATATGTATCTTTGATTGGTCTTTTAGCAAAAGCACTACATTTACAATAAGTTGAGAATTTACAAATATTTGCCAATGATTATGCATTTCATGGACACCTCATTTATCAGCAATGAATTATGAGTCAAATGCCTCTCTTATAGTTTATTGCTCTCATTATCCACCCCATGAAAGATCTGTTTTATCATCCTTTGTAGAATGTAGAGTTCACAATCAACATTTTTGCATGTATGTAATATTATTTTTACAGGGCGTCAGCTCACAATCTTCAATAGCCAAGCAACCATAATAATTGGCGGGAAAGAGCAGGGCCAGCCCTTCCAGGGCCAGCTCTCTGGGCTTTACTACAATGGCTTGAAAGTTCTGAATATGGCAGCCGAAAACGATGCCAACATCGCCATAGTGGGAAACGTGAGGCTGGTTGGTGAAGTGCCTTCCTCTATGACAACTGAGTCGACAGCCACTGCCATGCAGTCAGAGATGTCCACGTCCATTATGGAGACCACCACCACCCTGGCCACTAGTACAGCCAGAAGAGGAAAGCCCCCTACGAAAGAACCCATTAGCCAGGTGAGTATGTGGATTTCATTTCTTCATGTTGGACCTGTGATTATGAGGGTGGGCTTTTCGCATAGGTGTCTTTTCTAAGCTGTGATTGTTTCTGATCTCAGGCATTATGGCATCTTCTGAAACTTGTTTTATATAATGCACTCGGTTTAACTGTGAACTGTGTGTACACTGTTGATTTGGGATTTGGGCTTTTATAAATTGCTTTGTGTTGGTTTCTTCACAGCTTGCTGATAGCCTTGATTCAGTAACCTTAGTCTAGCTCAAGCTGAGGGGATTGTCTGCTAATTACATAGGATTTTCACTTTTCAAGTTAAATGAACAAGTTAATTAATGAATTATTTGAAAGGCCTTAGTTGTTCAAGCTTGGCATTTCATCAAAGTAAACTAAAAGCAAATTTAAAAATCTTAAAAGAGAAATTGCCTGCAAAAGATGATGTATTGTATTTGGAAGTCTTCGAGGTTTGAGTTGATAGGTGTGTGGCTCTCATCGTGAATGAGGTTTACTCAGTTGCTGTCTATAAGAAATATGCCCTGTTAGCTTATCTGAGGACAAAGACCCAAAATATGGCACTTAACACTGTCTTGGAATAACATATTAGGTATGATATGTGGCTAACTGCCCTCACCTGGAATACACCTCAGTGAGTTTATTGTTCAATCCTATGTCAATACTTCTTGAAATATAGGTTTTAAATGTTGAATCTGTACAACTTGGAAGTATATTAATTCCATCAAGATATACTCATTGATTGCCTAACATGGACCAGGCATTGGCTTAGGTATTGGCATTATATCATGGAAGAACAAGAAGGAAAAAAGCAAACTACCAGCCTCATAGAGCTTACATTTTATGAAAAGCTATTAGAAAGCTGTTGAAATGCTATTACATTCTTATTGATATTTACTGCCTTTGTAGATATCCCATTGTTAATTCTTTCAGAATTGTGTTTTCCTTGGTCTAGAATTGGTTGTTTCCTTGTGTTGTTTCTATCAGTGTCTTTTGTAGGTGCCGTATAAAGTTTTTTCAAATACATTACTTTTCTAGAAACCAACATTCTAAAGATATGAGAATGATAAAAATTATTTTTAAATTGCTTTTATTTCAAATATTTGAAAGAGACCAAGTGTCAGAATTAGAGAGTAAAAGAAAGTGGATTTTGTTGTATCAGCACCCTTTCTACTAATTAACATAAGTTTACCAGAGAAAGAAGAAAATAGATTCTGATTTTTACTTTGAAGAAAGAGGTGGGAGGAATAGAATAGAGGAAGAGAAAATGTCCTAGGAGAAGAGAGATGGTCAAAAAATTATAAATTCTGTAAATTTACAAGTGTAGTGATGAATATATGTATCTATGTGCAGCATCCTCCCCTCCCCTCCCCTCCCCTCCCCTCCCTCCCCTCCCCTCCCCTCCCCTCCCCTCCCCTCCCCTCCCCTCCCCTCCCCTCCCCTCCCCTCCTCTTCGCACTTGGCCACAAAGTAAAACGGACAGTCTTACAGAATGCTCATATACATACATATATATATATATATATATATATATATATATATATATTCTATGTGCCATACATTGATTTGATACCGGGGATACATTAGCAACAACAAACAAAAAACTCTGCCTTTATGGCATAATACAAACACAGAGCAAGTGATAAAGTATTTCCTTCAAAAAAAATAATTCATAAGAGGACATTTTAAGATAATCAGAGTTGGAAATGTTCCCATGAATAAAATTTGAAAGAACCAGATATTTTTTATGGTAGTTTTGTTTCATCATTAATCAAATTATAGTTGCCTAAGTTCCTAGGTAAGCCAGATGTATCCCAAAGTAAGGAAAAAATGATCAGCTTTGTTTTTGTGTATTTCATCAATTAGTAACCACTATATATTAAGAAATGATGTTTTTAAGAAAATGTGTAAAATTACTATTTTATTTGCAAGCTAAACACCTACAAATGAAAACATAAAAATGTATACATTTTATAACATTAATTAACGTAAAAAGAAAACAGTTAACTGCTCATTAATTGTCAATTAAAAGAGCCTCTTTTATTATAAGCTATTACATGTTTAAAGACAGCAGTGCTTTATAGAGGTAAATGATCTAATCAATTAGTCATTACTTGGTTCATTTGAGGAGATACTGACTTCAATAAAAGATTACTAGGTTCATTAAAAATTAGATATCTTGAATTTTTAGAATTTTAATAGACCAAATCTAGCAATTATATCATTTGGATTAATGTGTTACAAATATTCAGTTATGGCAACAGAGTCTTAAATTTGGACTGATAGTTATTAAAATTCTCTATTTGACAATGATATATATGTGATTACAGGCAGTGTGTGTATGTGGGGGGATCTGGAAGGAAAGAAAGGAAGTTTTTCTTATTTTTGAGAAACATAATAATATGTTACAAATTTGATTTTCCTCACAATTGGTTTTTAAAGTTACCCTCCAACTATACAGATAATGAATGCATGTAGAATTTCAAGTATTTCTTTCATAGAATTGTCAAAATCTTGTAAGTTTAAATGATTTGTAACGCTAATTCCAGGACTGTAACCTTTGACCCATTTTTGCAGGTTGGATGAAGCATCTTCCTTTAAACCCTGTTTGTAGTACAAGCCATCTCCGTGTGCTTTTATCAAGTGCCTTACTAAATTATGTACAGGAAGGGTCATTTTATTTTTCAGAACCATCCTGGACTGTTTTCTCAATCAAAGTGTATTTTCCTCGGTGATAACACTGAGTCATTTTAGCTGCAGTGGAATGTACCTTGGGGTGATTGCATGTTTTAGAACTATGGAAACAGATTTTTGGTCAAGCAGAATTAAATTGGATTCATTTCAAATAGATGAGATGAGGTTTTTTTCCAGCCATCCTGCAGGGCAAGTAGTAGGGGAAAATGTATTTTTGGTTTTCACAGAGTCACAGAACATAAAATAGTATTCATCAAAATGTCATCCCAATAAGATCTTGTTTACATTGCCACTTAAAAGTAAAACTAAAAAGAAGAAAAAAAGGAGTTTTTTTTTTTCCCTTGAATAATGAACAATTTTCAGACTGATGTTTACTTTAGAAAGGCATGGTTTTTGTGATGAACTAAAGGGTACATTTACTAACCCCTGTGATTAAATAGCTTTTTAAATGTGAATATAACAATAAATGATATTTTTATATGAATTACATGAAATTTGTTTTACTTAGAATTTTTAATATTTAAATGTTTCATAAGACACACTCATCTCAAAAAAGTGAAATTCTCTATAATGCTAATCTCAGAAAGCGATGATTTGCTAATATTTGCTAGTATAAAGATTTTCAGGACGCTGAGAGTTTCTTGGAGACGGGGACAGGAATCTCATGCAAGATTGTTGGCTGTTAAATGACCCCTCTTCTTCTGAATAATCTGGCAATGTCTTATGGTTGTATATGTAGCTTTACATAAATAAATGAACGTAAGCCAACATGCAAAGGTCAACATTCACTCCCTTTGGTTTCCAGTCTGTAAAGAACGGAGAGTGGAGCCTTGTGGTTTAAGATCAAGATTGTGACATTTCTTCTGGTCTAGGCTTTGTATCACTTTTTATGATCTTTCAGGTTCTTTCCTTTAAGAATATTTTACAAGCTATATACAGACAGAATATGGATCCATTGTAATGCCTTTGACTTCTAGGGAGTGCAGTGTAAAGGAAAGAGCACAGTGAATCAGGAGACCTGGTTTCCACTTTCAACGCAATCACTACCGTGTTGTGTAACTTGGACAAGTTGCTTAATTAACCTCACTGTATTTTATCCTGCTACCTTGCTACAGTAAGTAGATTGAGCTAGGAATCTCTTGATTGTACTGAGCTCCAAAATTTCATTGTCTCTGGTAGTGATGCTGTTAGTTAGGTCTTCTGATGATTATTTAACGAAGCAAAGATTTCATCCTTGACTTTTCATAGAGTGGCCATGCCTCTCAATGGGGCTGCATCACCTTCATGCATACCTGGTGTCCCAGTGTAATTATTACTAATATTATCCCTTCTTGACTCTCAAAAGCATTCCTTTTTAGTCTATATTTCAATCTACTTTTACAGCATATATAAATCTATCTTTGCAAGAAAATCATACTTCATAAGAATAATAAATAGTGAAATCCTGTCTTTTACATTCCAAATAGGAATTGACTCTGGTATTTTTACTTGGTTTCAGAAATCTATGGTTTTTTTTTGTTTTTTGTTTTTTTTTTCAATCTCATTTCAAAAATCTTAGGAAAGGAGGGAAAAGAAGGCTTTCAGAGAGTCTGGTTCTTGACTTGAGAGAATACATAGGAAACTGCGAGTAAGACATTAGATTATGGAGTGGAGGCGCATCAGCAAGTGTGAGTGAAATATATTGGAACAAGTCTGTGGTTCCACTTAGGCTTTGTTTTCAGAGTGGAGTAGGCAAATCTAGTCAATAAAAAAAAATATTGAGTATTTAAAAACATTGTTGTCATAGACATGTATATTTCACATACGCAATATCATACAGAAGCCAATTATATTTAATTCTCATGGAACATTCCACAAAGAAATCCAACCAGTATTCTAGCAAGAAAGAGTATTTGAATATATTGGACACTGCTGTTGCTTCCTGGCAGATTTTGATATACTCATGAAAAATTAATACTATTTGCTTAAAAAATATAAACAGAGGGCACAAATATTCCCATGAAAAAATATTTAAAATTAACAAAATACATTTTGTAACTTCAAAAAACAAAATTTTATTTTTTATTAAAAATATTAATGAGACTTAGCAGTGGCTTTATTATTAAAAAATAATTGCATTGCTTATAATTGTGTATGTTCTGATAACCACTCTGCATTTGAAAATATTGATGACATAGAAGATTAATTTTATTTTTCCTAGTCCAATCACTCTGCTGAATTCACTTAAATTAATTTACATTTTTACAGAAAATTTTAGTGCATATTGGAAAGAAGAACACTTGGGTATAGATTTTACAAT